CCTAGCCAGCTTACTGACTGTTAGGAATTGTGGGAGTTGAAGTCCAAAACACCTGGAGGGCCGAAGTTTTCCTATGCCTGGTTTAAATCCTCATTGAGCCTTTTCTGATGCATCGGAGAGTCCAGTCACAACCACAGTGTGTTGGGCTTCTCTTCCAAGAATGCTATCAGTTCACACTTGATGCATATGCAGTAAGTGAAGTTTTCTGGCAAGAAGATAAATATTGCACACACACTGCAGCAAATGATAGATTCTTTTTTCTTCATCCAGACAGTCACTATATATACTCATGTATAAGTTGATCTTATGTATAAGTTGAGGGCAAGTCTGAAGGTCAAAATTATGGATTGTGATATGATCCATACAAAAGTTGGGGATCATTTTGCCAAAATGGAAAAGCACCAATGACTCAGGAAGCCATCTACCCCTGCCTGCTGCCAATATTTTCCCACTCAGGCATTGATAAAGGTTGGAAGTGGCACTATGGTGGAAACAGTAGAGGGGACAATGCTTCTTTTAGGTTCTCCTAAGATGAACTAAGTCTGTGCCTTTTGCCAATCTATCTCACAGAAGGGGATGGTCCCTTTTTAGGCATGGGCAAGAGTTAAAGACTTATCCACTGACCCAATGGATAAGTCAACAGTTTTGAGGGGGTTGATTTTTTGACTAAAATTTCTAGACTTATATGTATATATTATGCTTTTTCAAAATTACTAATTCTTATTGGCATACACCACAAGTCTCACATTGCCAGCCCCACAAGTCTTACATTGCCAGTGTGATACCTCCATTCCAAAGCAAGTCAACAGAAAGTCCTTTAAACCAAGTTAGCAGAAGCCTTCTAAGAAAATCTCTGCTCTGCTCTCAAGTGTTCCTCACATCATGCAAGATGCATGTTGTTTGGAATCATATTAAATATTTTATAGTAACCATAAAAAAATTAAATCAGTTGCATGCAAACCTCTTTCTTGCAATCTTAGTTGGGTTTTTTGTAGCCTTCCAAAGTCTGCAACTTCATTTCTATCACAAGGTAAACTGTGTTTGAAAGCAAGCTCATTTTCTCTCTCTATGTGTCACCACGTTCTTGTTAACATGCTAAAGCTGTGAAGATAATTTTATAAAGTCTTCATCTGGGACTGTGCCTTCAGAGCCACCCGACACTTCATTTATCCCCACACCTCCAGCAAGCAACTGGCTCTGTTTCAAAAATAACCCACTCTCAAAATAACCCACAAATCTAACATAATGCCAATATCAATAATGCACAAATAATAAAGAATACTTGCAATACTTGCAAATTTTCTACTGGTAGATTCATCACAAGTGACACATGTGTGAAAGATTAGGAACTAACAGATTCTGCAGGGACAAAGAGTGGTATTAATACACAAGAACAGTTTGAAAGAAAGAATTTAATACACTTGCCAACACATCAGGTCAAAGGATTTGCCAAACGAGCTCACACTGGTAGCTAATTTGTTTTTGTTATTTTACAAACAGTAACCTCAAATATTCAGCAGTTTTTCCTCCCCATCTTCTTATATATAATTTACTGAGACATCTCTTTGTGCTTCCAGCCATGTTCTTGCCTCTTCAAAATTTAAACTATTGATAAACTAGGAAAACAAAGAAGTTTTATTTTCATTGTTCAGTGTATAATTCACAAAGTCATGCATGCCAGACTTTGAGTAGGAGAAATTCAGGAAAGGAATGTAAAAAGAAAAAAGTGGATGGCGAGAGGAGGACAAGTTAAGAGGTTGCTTCTGATTATCAAGTGTCTACAGAGAAAGCTTCTGGTGTGGGTTTTCCGGGAATCTTATTAAGCCAAAGTATATTTTAAGTTGATATGGTAGATAGATAGATAGATAGATAGATAGATAGATAGATAGATGATAGATAGATAGATAGATAGATAGATAGATAGATAGATAGATAGATAGGATATATGTCCATTCTTCCCATGGAAAGGAAGATCAGTATTTACATTCCAACAACATTGGTCTCATTTACACTAACCATTCGATGCAGTTTGAAGCTAGCTTAACAAACTCTTACAAAAGTGCATAAAATAAAGTCCTTAATGCGCATCAGTATTCTATGGTTTATGGAATCCCTATCCAGAGCTCCAACTGATTCCAGGATTTTCTATGTAATCACTGCACAGTGAAATCACTTTCTTCAATACTGGTTTGAAATGGTGTTAAACGTGTAGATGGAACCATTGTTTTTTCCATTTGCAATGCAGATCCAATTATTAAAAAACTTTTCCTGCTTCATTTTTATGTCCAAAAAGCTGCTAAAGGTAGAGACACTATTAAAGGCACAGGTGCTTAAAAAACTAGGATGCATATGGTTAAGCAGCTACAACAAAAGTCATTAATGAGGAACACACAAGCTAGGAGAGGCTGAGCTGATTTGCTTTTGCCTGAGCCTATTGGGAAGTCCAACATTTCTCAACCTTTTCTCTTCTCTTCCACTACTTCTGTCCTTTGAACCATGTTTGCTGCAACTGAAATAAATATGAGGATGAAGAGGGGAAACTGAAGGAGAACAAAGCAAGGACTGAAAAAGTGGGATGACAGGAGATTAACAAGGGCTGTCACTTCCAAATCAAGACAGTTGGAGGACATGGAATAAATAATAATAATAATAATAATAGTAGTAGTAGTAGTAGTAGTAGTAGTGCGGTTTTCTGGCATTGTATATTTCTGCCGCTTCTGTGATGGTTCATTTGTATTTTGATTCTGTAGCCCACTTGTCGATGGATGTCCAGAATCAACAGCATCCACTGCGGTCCTTTTTATCCTGGGCATTGACTGAGCCAGTATAGATTTCATTTTGGTTTGCTTCTCCATAATGCTAATGGGTTAGGTGCTCTTGGTTCCACTCCTCAGCTGAGACCTCTCTGGCTTGGTTGGACCTGCTGGTAGTTACACTACCGCCAGCACAGCTCTCAGCACCCTTGGAGCAGTTAAGCCCCCCCACCACGACAAGGTGGCACCCAAAAATGACCTCAAAATCGAACTACAAAGGCTCTGGCACAAACCAGTACAGATGGTCCCAGTGGTCATTGGCACACTGGGTGCCGTGCCAAAAGATCTCAGCTGGCATTTGGAAACAATGAACATTGACAAAATCACGATCTGTCAACTGCAAAAGGCCACCTTACTTGGATCTGCGCGCATCATTTGAAAATACAGCACACAGTCCTAGACACTTGGGAAGTGTTCGACTTGTGATTTTGTGATACGAAATCCAGCATATAGATCTCGTTTGCTGTGACTTACTGTGCTTTTGTGTCAATAATAATAATAATAATAATAATAATAATACTTTATTATTAATAATAATACTTTATTATACCCCATCACTATCTCCCCAAAGGAACTCAGGGCAGCTTGCATGAGGCCAAGATCAACAATTACTACAAAGCAAATATATAACACAAAATAATACATCAATAAAATATAGTAAAAATAATAAACAAACAATACAAAATAAACACAAGATGCAATATAAAATCACAATAATTGATCATGATGGGCAGGGCCGGTTACAAGGATTAACCAGCTGTTAGGAATTGTGGGAGTTGGAGTCCAAAGCACCTGAAGGGTCCAAGTTTGCACATGCCTGTTCTACAGTGTAAGTGCACCCTACAGTTTTGGAGACCACTGTTCAATTTCCTGCTCGGCCATGGAAACCCCCTGGGTGAGTTTTGGCGAGTCATACACTGTCAGCACCATAAAACTGCTTTTTTCACTAGGACACAGTGGAGCAATGGATTCAAACTACAGGAAAAGAGATTCCACCTAAACATTAGGAAGACCTTCATTATGATAAAAGCTGTTTCGCAGTGGAATTCACTGCCTTGGAATGTGGTGAAATCTCCTTCTCTGGAGGCTTTGATGCAGAGGTTGGATGGCCATCTGTCCAGACTGCTTCGATTGTGTATCCCTGTATGGCAGAATGGGGTTGGACTGGGTGGCCCTTGGGATCTCTTCCAATACTATGATTCTATTCTATGAATATAGTCAGAATACTGACTGTGGTTTGTTTATTCCCCCATCCACTCCCAAGGAGTTGGTTTTAATTATGTAAATGGACCGAAGGAACAATCTACTCCATCTGGATTATGCTTAAATGGGAGAACACAACATGAAGCTAAACCAATGCAATACTAACATTCCCAATCCCCATGCTATCTAAATAACCCATAAACTGCTTGTGAGATAAATTGCAGATAATCAAATGCATTTCATTTCTCCAGCTAGCACTCCTTGGTTCCCTTCGGAGGATTGAGAGAATTATTATCTTAAATGTATTTTAAATTGCCAGTTTAATTACATTTTTGATGACAACCTTCTGGGTGTTTTTATCTATACGGTATCTGGTATACAGGGAATTTTTTAAAGTCGTCGTGTAACTATACAAATTAATTTCCCTTCAGTCCTCAAATTGTGCGCCTTCCAGCAACGTTTAGACATACAAAGATTTGGAAATCTAAAGAAAAAGGGCAGGCAAACTTTCCAGCAAATGTAAATGTTCTATACTGGAGAATTAATCCAGTTTGATACCACTTTAATTGTTGTGGAATCATGGGACACCAGCACTCATTGCCAGACAAACCTTACTCCTAAGATGCCATATAATTGAACTATGGCAGTTAAAGCAGTGTCATGTTGTGTAATTTTAAGATACTGAACACGCATGCGCAGTCTCCCCTCTTCGTGATCCTTTTGCCTCTTAGCTCTAGAAGTGGCCTTTGGACGCACGCATGCGCACTCCCCCTTCTTGTTTGCCCTTTGGTCTCCGGTTTCGGCTTCTAGGCAGCCTTCGGTTGCACGCATGCGCACTCTCCCTTCTTGTTGGTCCTGTTCTCCCCCATCTCTGCTTCCAGAACAAGCGGCGGACCCTTCAAGAGCCGCGCATGCGCAGTTTGCCCCCCTCGCGGCCTTCTGGCATTCCTTCGTCCTCTTTCCCCAATGGCTAGAACTACCTACCCGTCCTGGAGAGCAGTCAGTTGGCGAGGATGTACGGTGGCCGCAGGGGCCCGTCTCTCGCAAAAGGCGAAACCGAGGACGCTGGGCAGGGGCTCCCTCGGAGGAGAGAAGGCAGAAACAACTATGGCTGCGTTTGGAGAACGCCCTGGCTGGCTCTGCCCTTCGCCCTTGGTTGAACGCACCGCATCACCTGAGGAGGCCGCTTTAGCAGCCTCTCGACTTTCCAGCAGACCTCGAAGGCGTTTTTTTTTGGAGAGAGGCTGCGTAGGCCTCAAACCCTTCTCTCTTGCCTCAGTCGGTTTGGGATTGGGCAAGAGAGGGCTGTGGAAACCAGAGGAGGAGGAGGATTCCTTTCTTCCAAATGACTATTATTAAAACTTAACATACCAATAAAAACACTCTTTGGCAGAAAAGGCGAAAGGCCTTGTAAAATTACAACTCCCATTCTACTTTCTACCTTGAGAAAGTAGAATTATACATTTAGACTAGAGAATTCGTACGGTTTAACAGCACTTTAAAGGCTGATCTGGCCGGGGTGGTCCATATTGTGTCCAATTCTGGGCAACACAATTCAAGAGAGATATTGACAAGCTGGAATGTGTCCAGAGGAGAGCGACTAAAATGATCAAGGGTCTGGAGAACAAGCCCTATGAGGAGCAGCTTAAGGAGCTGGGCATGTTTAGCCTGAAGAAGAGAAGGCTGAGAGGGGATATGATAGCCATGTATAAATATGTGAGAGGAAGCCACAGGAAGGAGGGAGCAAGCTTGTTTTCTGCTTCCCTGGAGACTAGGACGCGGAACAATGGCTTCAAACTACAAGAGAGGAGATTCCATCTGAACATGAGGAAGAACTTCCTGACTGTGAGAGCCGTTCAGCAGTGGAACTCTCTGCCTGGAGTGTGGTGGAGGCTCCTTCTTTGGAAGCTTTTAAACAGGCTGGATGGCCATCTGTCAGGGGTGATTTGGATGCAATATTCCTGCTTCTTGGCAGGGGGTTGGACTGGATGGCCCATGAGGTGTCTTCCAACTCTTTGATTCTATGATTCTATGCCTTAGTCACCTCTAGATTGGACTACTGTAATGCGCTCTACGTGGGGCTGCCCTTGAAAACGGCTCGGAAGTTCCAACTGGTCCAACGGGTAGCAGCCAGGATGTTAACTGGTGTTCCTTACAGAGAGAGGTCAACCCTCCTGTTCAAGGAGCTCCACTGGCTGCCATTTATCTTCCGAGCCCAATTTAAGATGCAGGTGCTTACCTACAAAGTCCTAAATGGTTTGGGACCATCCTACCTGCGTAACCATATCTCCGTTTACGAACCCACATGCTCATTTCGTTCATCCGGAGAGGCCCTGCTCGTGATCCCGCCAGCGTCGCAGGCGCGTTTGGTGGGGACGCGAGACAGGGCCTTTTCTGTGGTGGCCCTCCGACTCTGGAACACCCTCCCAAAAGATCTTAGACAGGCCCTACATTGGCAGTCTTTAGAAAGAACTTGAAGACCTGGCTGTTCCGATGTGCCTTTCCAGAATAGGAACCTCCAATAAGCACTTTATTAGAACTAAGATTGCTGCACACCGCACACTGCACTTACCCTATAATCCTTACATATCACCTGTCACATCAGCACTTTTAATCCTGTACTCTGGCCCGGCCCAGTTTTATAGTGTTTTGACGTATTGTTTATTGCTTGTTGTTTATATTGCTTTAACTGTTTTTAATTTGCTTTAGGTGGCCTCCTGGACCTGCCCAGGCCAGAGCTCCCTGTCAGTCATAGAATCATAGAATCCTAGAGTTGGAAGAGACCTCATGGGCCATCCAGTCCAACCCCTGCCAAGAAGCAGGAATATTGCATTCAAATCACCCATGACAGATGGCCATCCAGCCTCTGTTTAAAAGCTTCCAAAGAAGGAGCCTCCACCACACTCTGGGGCAGAGAGTTCCACTGATGAACGGCTCTCACAGTCAGGAAGTTCTTCCTCATGTTCAGATGGAATCTCCTTTCTTGTAGTTTGAAGCCATTGTTCCGCGTCCTAGTCTCCAGGGAAGCAGAAAACAAGCTTGCTCCCTCCTCCCTGTTTATTTGTACCCCACCACCATCTCCTGAAAGGGGACTCGGGGCGGCAAACATGAGGCCAAGCCCAAAGATACAATACAATGGAGTAAAATACAAAATACAGACAACAAAATTACATCAGAATAAAATACATACAATAACATAAGATTATTGGCAAGCCCCAACTCTGGCAGTCTTTAGGAGGAGCCTGAAAACGTGGTTGTTTCAGTGTTCCTTTCTGGAATAAGGAAACCCCAGCAATATGTCCCTAAACGCACTTTATTAATGATCTAAGATTATCTGCACATTTCTTCCCTCTCCAAAATTTTTATCCCAGTTACATGTCACCTTGTCATGCCCAGCATTATTTTTTTTAAAAAAAATCAATTATTACATTTGGCCCAGCCATAGATTGTGTTATTGTTAATGTTTATTACTTATTTTTGCTTATGAGTTTATTTATTGTTTTGTATTATTGTTGTTATTGTTTATTGTTGTATTGTGGGCTCGGCCTCATGTAAGCCGCACCTTGGAGAGATGGTAGCAGGGTACAAATAAAGTTTTATTATTATTTTATTATAAAGCAAATAAACATATTATAAAATTGAACACAATGGGCAGGCTGAATGGGCGAGGTAACATGATAAAACCCCAGATTGAGGTAGGAGTAGAAAAAAAGGTGTAATTGAGAGGAGCCCAAAAAGGATGAACAGTGGGATTAGTCTTTCAGTTTAGGAAGGGGGGAAGTGCATCATAGGGGCAATGCTGTGGGTAGAACAAACAAAAATGGGATAGAGGTGGTCATTCTCCAAAGGCACATTGGAAGAGTCAAGTTTTCAAATTTTTCTTGAAGGCTGATAAAGTGGGGGCTTTAGAAGTCTAAAGACTTTGTTAAACCATAGCTCCCATGATTACATAGCATTGCATCATACTGTCAAAATGCATTAATTCTGCAGAGGTTTTTTTTTTCAAGTGAATAAAAACAATGCAGAGCACCTGATTAACCAACCTGGACACAGCATATTATTAGAGAACACAGAAATGCTGGACCACTCGGACAGCCACCATGCCATACTAGACAGAGAAACCATTGAAATCCACAGGGATGTGGACAATTTCAACAGAAAGGAGGAAGCCATGAAAATAAACAAAATTTGGCTACCAGTATTTTTTTTTAAAAAAACCCTCTAAAATCAGAACAGTAGATAAAGAGCAACACCCCAAAAACAGGAATTCCAGACAAGAATCAATCAGGGCCAGCTAACATCTCCCAACAAAGGATTCCCCAGGCAGCAACCAGCCAGACATTGAAGCTGCAAGGCCATTAAATGCTAATCAAGTTCGCTATTTACAACATTTACACTTCCCTCAAGCAGACAAGAGTTCTTTCTCCCACCCTGGACATTCCACAGATATATAAACCTCACTTGCCTAGTTTCCAACAGATCCCTCAATCTCTGAGGATGGCTGCCATAGATGTGGGCCAAACATCAGGAGATAATGTTTCTGGAACTTGGCCATATAGATGTTTGATGCTTATTGTTTTAATTGTTATCATTTTCAATTCTTCTTAACTGTTTTTATCATGTTTTATGTATTGTATTTGTGGTTGTGAACCGCTCTGAGTCGTCCTGAGGGCTGAGAAGAGTGGTATAAAAATGTAGTAAATAAATAAAATAAAATAAAATAAAATAAATATAGCCCGGAAAACTCATAGCAACCCTATGCTTTTTATTTGCATCACATCAGGGTGGAAGCCGATCTGACTTCTTCCCGCAGTGTGTTTCAAAGCTTGGATTTTAGATGCAAGTTAGCCCTAGACTGTCTGGAAATGAGGGTCTCCTTGCTGGATTTTAAAGGTCTGCCCAGTCTGTACTGTTGGACACAGTGCCTCAAGTAAGCTGGACCAAACCCACACAGGGCTTTATAGGTTAAAACGAGCACCTTGAATTGGGCTTGGAAACAAATTGGAGCTGTTTCAGCAGGGAGGTGGTGTGCTCCCTGGAATTGGCTCCTGTGATTAATTTGGCTGCTGTTCTCTAATCCAAAGAGATTCTTTGCCTAGGGTAGGGTTTCCAGACACTTTTCAAGTGCAGGTTATTAGGGATTGTGGGAGTTGGAAGTCCAAAACACCTGGACGGCCAAAGCTTGCCCATGACTGCCTTAACCCCATCGAATGTTTAGGGTTGACTGTACTTTTCCCCACAGTCTATAAATGGTGGGATTAACAGTCACAAGAAATGGCAGTGACTGCTACTTTGGCAATCATTAGAAATTGAGAGAGTCAACTTGAGAAGGATTGTACTATCTGCTAGTTACAATATAGATTTCTGTGTCAGTCCGATTGTGGAATGCCCTCACCATGAAGACTAGCACTGGTCCCCTTTTTAACATCTAGACCTTGACTTTTTATAAAAATGTTGATCCTAAAAGCTTCACCCAGTCAATATACGTACAAGCCTTTATATTGTTTCAATTGAAACTTTTCAAATTGTGCTGTTGTTCAATATGTTTTTACAGTGCTTAGAATATTTTTATTTTTTAAATGTTACTGTTTTCTACTTTTTAAATTATTTAACCTATTTTGTTGGAAGCAATGCAGAGCTCTCAGTAATATGGATTAGGATAGAAATATTTTAAATAAATATTTTCTTGCAGTACCAAAGATAATATGCCTCTGTGTTTCAGATATTGAAAAGCACAGGTGGAGGAGTGTTGTGCAAGTCATATCCTGTTTCTGGCCTTCCTATGGGCAACCGATTGCATGTTCTGTGGAAACTTTGCTGTAGTAAAGTATTTCTCATTCTAGCTGGGATATTCAGGGAATTGGGAGTCTCTGAAGTAGTTTTCTAAGTTCAAATCCTACCAACTACCTATATTTTTAATACCAGATCAAGCATTGTCACAATCACCATGCAATGGTGTAACATGGAGATAATAATTAAAATTTATCCTTCAAGGCTTTTATAACATAAAATTGTAAATTAATGGCTGCAGTGATGCAGATTAGGTAAACTCTGCAGTCAGGCTCCAAAAGACTTCACTCTGTATAGATCACTGGTTCTCAACCTGTGGGTCACCAGGCGCTTTGGCCTACAATTCCCAGAAATCCCAGCCAGTTTACCAGCTGAGAGTTGAAGGCCAAAACATCAGAGAACCACTGGTATAGATAGACATGGCATTTGTCAGCTTTATGCATATTACTTTGGGCCTCGAATAATCTCTTAGGTGAACGCTAAGGTTCACTGGATGTTTCATGAT